ACCCCCGTGAATAAAAGAGAATAGTAAATAAAAACTGTTAAGTTTTTATTTACAGAGGGGCCTGAGTTACAGGGGTTTTTAACTGTGCCCTCTATTTCAGGTCCTGAGTTGCAGGGGTGGTACTGAAGTTCTGGTCCTTTGTAATAAAGGAGTAAACCCAGAAAAAGTCTACTACTGAAGAAATAAAGAGATAATACTTACTGGTACTTATGTCAGCTTGCTACTATGGCAGAGACAACCTGTCATAGCAAATAAAAATAATAAATTACATAAAAAATCTAAGTATAAATTAAAAATATTACATAAGTAAAAGAAACAATATTACTTATGTAAATAAGATAAAAAATACTTAAAAAAAGGGCCTTAATAAAAAAACGTGGTTTTTCCGCGTTTTGACGCGGTTTTGATGCGCCGCAGCACACGCGGTTTCCGCTTTTAGACGCGGTTTTTTAATTAATTTTTTACGGCTTATTTTTCGAGTTTTTTTGAATTTTTAAAATTGTTTCCTAGGTTTCAAAGCGCGTAGAATTTAATGGTGAAAACCAATTTCCATAAAAATGAGTTTTAATTATTAATTTTTTTTTCTACTCATTTTTTCCATTAATTGTATGCATACATGTTTTTACCTTATTTTTCATGTTTTTTTGAAATTTTAAATTTATTTCCTAGGTTTTAATGTGCGTAGAATTTAATTGTGCAATCCAATTTTTTTAAAACTCAACGGTTCATTTATAATACTGAAATTAGACCCATTTTTTCACTTAATTTTTTACAGCTTAATTTTCATCATTTTTTGACATTTTAAATTTATTTCCTACACTTTAAGACATGTAGAAAATTATGGTATCAACCATTTTTCCCCAAGTTGAAAACTATACCTTGAATGCTGCATTTGACACGTTTTTTTAATTAATTCCTCACTTTTTCACCTAATTGTTTGCATACATGTGTGTACCTTATTTTTTATGCTTTTTTAAAATTTTAAAGTTGTTTCCTACATTTAAAAGTGTGTAAAATTTAATGGTAACATTCAATTCCCATAAAACTCAACGGTTCATTCTGGATACTGTAATTAGTCATATTTTTCAATTGATTTTTAAGAGCTTAATTTTCATTATTTTTTGACATTTTAAATTTTTTTCCTACACTTTAAGACATGTTGAAAACGATGGTAACAATCACTTTGCATCAAAATAAAAACTGTATCTTGAATAATGCCTTTGACAGGTTTTTTTAATTAATTCTTACATGCTTAATTATCCTTATTTTTTGGAATTTGAAGTTCATTTCCTACACTTTGAAAGGTTTCAAAATTGCTGGCTGTATCCATTTTGCATTCAAATAAAATTTGTATACGTTACAAATTGTGCAAGAAACGGGGTGCACTCATGTATTAAGATTGAAGCTTGTATTTTTAGGTAAATTGGACTTCACCATTCAATTTTAAACATTTTTAAATGGAGGAAATGAATTTAAAATTTCAAAAAATGATTAAAAACCAGCCGGTAACAAGCAATTAACAAAACATTAAAAAAAACATGCCCAACGCAGTATTCAATAACATTCTTTGGTTTTTATGCAAAATGATAGTTACCATCATTTTGAACATGTCTTCAAGTGTGGGAAATAAATTTGAAATGTCAAAAAAGAATGAAAATTAGGCTTCAAAAATTTAAGTAGAAAAATGAGTGTAATTTGAGTATTAAAAGTGAACCGTTGAGTTTGAAAAAAATTGGACTGCGCCATTAAATTCTGCGCACATTAAAACCTAGGAAATAAATTTAAAATTTCAAAAAAACATGAAAAATAAGGTAAAAACATGTATGCATACAATTAATGGAAAAAATGAGTAGAAAAAAAAATTAATAATTAAAACTCATTTTTATGGAAATTGGTTTTCACCATTAAATTCTACGCGCTTTGAAACCTAGGAAACAATTTTAAAAATTCAAAAAAACTCGAAAAATAAGCCGTAAAAAATTAATTAAAAAACCGCGTCTAAAAGCGGAAACCGCGTGTGCTGCGGCGCATCAAAACCGCGTCAAAACGCGGAAAAACCGCGTTTTTTTATTAAGGCCCTAAAAAAAATGAATAACTTAAAAAGTATAAAAAAAAACCTTGAATGTTATTGCAGATTCTGAATCAGCATGCAATTTAACCTAGGGCACCTCAGCCAAAGGTACCCCAAATTCTAACTCCTTCAACCTGTAATACAAGCATGAATAATTAACAGGTACCCCCAGATCACGGGTACTGTGACACTTCTGCATAATGCATAATGCATATACTCCAAATCCAGTCTCAGAATTGGAGTATTGTACACGGTTTAGAAGATAGAGCAGTGTGGAGTCCTGTCTCCAAGCCCATGTGCCACGTAGTCATGCTGCGCACCAGTATCCAAGGATTGGGCCACAAAAGCCCCAGAATCCCCATTGCACGTGGCAACAAAGCCCCCACATGTGTAATAAGAATGTGAACAAGCTAGAATATCCATGAAAATACTACAGTAACCATATTCCATTGGGTAACACGTGTAGCAAGCCTCAGAAGACACCTCTGGAATATTCTGTGGCCCATTTCCAAGGAACCTGCTCCACGTAACAGAGTAGCCCCTATCCACAGGTTCCCATGGGACATTCTTGGCTGTAATAATTTCGTGCATTACCCCTTGGAGCTTCTGGAATATTATCCCCAAGGTTCCAGCCCTGGTTACATCACCATGTGGGCCAAAATGGGCCCAAAAGCACTCCCAAGTCCTACTAAGCTCCCCTGAGCAACCCCTGAGGCCTTCCACAGGTATTTAAAGGGCCTTCTGACAGCCCAAATAATGATCCCCCAGCTTTAAAATACCATATAGAAATTTACTTACCATTTACAAGTCCCCTACACTTGTAATTAGCCTAGTTATTACTAATTTTGCTGTTATTAAGCCTCAAGAACCCTCAAGAAACTCCACAGCTGCCACCCAGCACTCAAAATCAACCTTTCTGAGCGCTCCCAACTGTCCAGTTTCTACTAAGAAAATCCTCAAGACCCCTTTGGATTATTACTAGTGAGTAATAACTCTTTCTTGAGATTTTCCCCTAAAAATTATCTCCTGGGATTTAAACCACACCTGCTACAGGCCCCAGTGTATCAGGTACCTAAATCCTCTGCTTTTTGCACGATACCTTAGAGGGATTAAACCACCCCTGATTTATCAGGCCCCTCTGGTTTTATTTATATTAATTTTATTAATATAAATTGGCCACTTTTTGGATTTAATCCATAAATTCCACATAATTCTTTTGAATTACTTGTACCAGCTCTATCCCAGAGTTTTTGCCATAAAAACTCTTACTTTTTGCACCTTGTGTAGCTAGAGGACACGTGTCTTGGCATCACATAGGCTGACAACTTATCTCTAAGCCAAGGAGGTCTTCAGGAGAGGGGGACTGTTCTTGAAGCGCTCAGAAAGGTGAGTGAGAGGTGTTGGGAGAGTGCTGGGGAACAGGTGTTGGATGGTTGAGTGAAATTCAGATTGCAAACAGCAGGAACAGGGCCAAAAGGCAGGTTGAAACTGGTTGTTGGTGACGGTTTATGCTGGTAAGTAATGATGAAGATGGGGAATCAAAGTTCAGGGGGAAGAAGGGGCTCTTAAATACCCATTCTGGGCCTCTCGAGGCGAACTCAGGAGTCTCTCTAGTTGCTACAACTCTCCTACTAAGCCTATGGGAGCTTTTGATCATCTGTAGCACCTGTAGAGCTTGGTTACAGGTGTCAAGGAGATGATGTAATGCTTGTAACCATGTTTACAGGGTGTTCTGACGAAACTGTAACACTCCTGTAGCCTATGTAAGCACTGCATGATGCATGGGTT